AAGTTCTCATGAAGAGGAACAGCCCATCTCACAAATTCAGTATTAGTGCTGCAAAATATATTTTCAGACTTCTATCTGAGTTTCAACTGAACGAGAAATCAATGTGCTCAGCTAAGAAAAAAACTGCTTCAGCATTTTAAGAAGTGTAGAAAGGTTCTCAATTACAAATTCACTTAATCACATTTTCTCATAATGTATATCCCTACTGTAGCATAGAAATGAAAGGAATACTACAGAATATTAAAAAGTGGGACTATAAACACAGAACAGGGTCCTAGACGGTTGTTCCAGCAACATAGAAACAAGCACTGCCCGTATACAGTACTTAAATTCCTTAATCAAAAATAGTTTTCTGCACATTCTGAATTTAACTTTCTCTGGACAAAATCTATGAATTGTCTCTCTCCTAAAAGTTTTTTACAGTCAATCTTTGAATGAAACTCCTTTAAGTATTTGCATGGATATAAACATAGTTATTCCACCCTTCTATAGATTAAATGATTATGAAGATGGGAAGTTTTATAACGCTTCATGTAAAAAATAATAGCACTGTATCTCAGCAATATTAGTAATGTTTTATTAATTTCAGTTTCACTTTTTCATTTTTATGAAACACCCAACTGCAAAAATAAGAGTAATGTACCATATTAGCATGAAATAATTTATTACTTTTCCAGGTAACAGTGTGCATTTTCCTTTGTTAAAGGAAATCAAGAGCAATGGCAAATTGCCAGAATTGAACGTGCCTATCCAGTGAGAATATCTTAAAAGGAAAGTCTTTTAAGCAGGGGTGAAATGCTACCAGTTCGGACCAGTTCGGGAGAACCAGTAGGGAACATGTGGCCTGGTTTGCTGAACTGGTAGCAACCGCTGGCTGGCCACGCCCCCAAACCGGTCCCTCAGTCACCACTCGCTCACCCCGCCTCACTTCTGCAAAGGCAGAGGCCTCCCCTGCAGGGCGATCCAAAGAGGGGAGGGGGATGCTGCAGAAAAAGCCGCCTTCCACCTGTGCCTCCGGTGCAAGCTCTGTGGGGCTTGGGGCTCCGAAGTAGCCCACTGGATTCCCACCTGGCCACCTGCCTGCTCTCTTTGACCACCGGCGCCACTCTGGGAACTCAGCCCGCAGAGTCCAGTGCTCTGGGGGAAGGAGGCTCAGAAGGAAGAAAGCAAACGACAGTGGCGCAACACATGCACGTCCATGGCCCGCCTGCCCTCCCGGACCACCATCACGTTGCCAGTTTACTTTCTTCCTTTTCCCGCCACAAAATGAAAGTGAACGGCGATGGGGTTGCTTCGGGAGGTTGCTTCAGGCAGGCAGATGTCTGCAGCCAGGCGGGGAGAGACAGTGGCAAGAATGGCAGCAGAGGGCAAGGGAGCACCAAGATGAAGGGCTACCCGCATTGGCCTGCCTGGGTAAGTGGCGCCACCCAGGTCAAAGGGAAAGCGCCGCAGTTTCCGTGGTGGTGCAGCTGGGCCTTGCCCTCTCCCCACATGGGGGGCTTCTGCCCCTCTGACTCTACTTCTTCGCTGCTAGGAAGCAGCGGCATGGCTGAGCCTCCTTCCCCCGAAGCGCCGGACTCCGTGGACCGAGTTTGTCAGGGCATTTATTAATCCCATGTTTGGCTCTGGGACTAATTACCCTGGTTTAGAGGAGGAGATGAATCGAGGCTTATTCCTTGTTGCAATAATCTGAAAAGAAACGCGAAGGAAGGTTTCTAATAAAACTCATTTATTTGTTATAAAGAAAATAAAATACCTCACTAACTAAGAAAAGTTAATTGTTACATTTTGGCAAGTAATTCTTGCCGGCTATCTGAGCCGGACCTTTGGCAAGAGAACAAAGGAAAAGAGTGAGTGTTAAGCAAGTGAAGGAATGTGGATGGATGCGGAAACACGTAGCTTACTGATAAGAAGTTGGCAAAGCTACGGAGAGTCTGACAGTCCAGAAATGATGAAGCTCAGCTGGGAAATAAAATAACGCAGTGACAGAGTTCCCAGAATGGCACCAATGGTCAAAGAGAGTAGGCAGGTGGCTGGGTGGGAATCCAGTGGGCTGCTTTGGAGCCCCAAGCCCTGCGGAGCCGGCACCGGAGGCATAGGTGGAAGGCGGCGTTTTCTGCAGCATCTCCCTCCCCTTTGGATCGCCCTGCAGGGGGGGCTCTGCCTTTGCAGAAATGGGATGGGCGGTTTGTACAGAGGATTGGCAGGGAGGCGATTCGGGGCCCTCTGGAATGGAGAGCTGGGCAAGAGAAGGCTCCGAGGTTCGCTTGGGCAGTCAAGCCAGATGGCAGAGGGAAATTCAAAACGTTGGGGACTTCAGAAGGGCAGAATTTGCTTCAGAATGTGCAGCTCCTGGGTCTAACACTGGGTGACATACGTGACATCAAGTTAGCCACACCCACCCAGTCACATGACCAAGCCACGCCCACAGCCACACCCAAATTTGTCGGCACCGACAAATTTTAGATTTCACCACTGCTTTTAAGACTCCGCCCCCCCCAAGTGAAGAGGTCATGGGCAATGTAAAAAGTTTTCTCTGTAGTAACCCCACCCTTTGGAACTTCTTAACCCCACCCATTTATAAGTCTCCCTCCTTCGTGCTTTTGAGAATATCTTTAAAGGCAATTTTATTTCACCAGGTTTCAACTCTGGTTATGTTTTATCAGAGTCCATCTTGGGAAAGACGTGGCTTTTTTCAACGGATGATTTATCACTACTGTTGTTCTTATACCTTTAAGCTATTTTATTGCTACTTTTATAATTTTTAAATAGTTTTTGAGTTGGGTAGGCTAAACAATGTGTAAATAAATACATTTCTTAATGAATTTGAGAAAGTGAGGTTGATGTTGAACCAAAATGTGAACCTACCCAGATTAGCTCTCTTAGATCAGTCAGAGGACATTTCCTGATTTCTCTGCTATCTGTGATCCTTTTAATTGGAGTACCAAGGTTTGAATCTGGGGTCTTCTGCATATAAAACTTCCCTTTCCTAGTAAACAAATGGTCTTTATAACAGGCAAATTGGCATATAGCAAAAATCACTAAAACTAGAAGAACGATAGATCATATTCAAGGGGTTGAGTGCCATAACTTGGCTTTCCAGTCTTTCAATTAGCAGCAACATGCTGAAATTATTGGGGGCGAGGGGCTTTTTTAAACTTTGTGTTTTGAAGACAGAAATTGAATCTGTGAGGCAAACCACTTCCATTTATACCTTTAATCTCATATGAAGCAACCCCAAACCCCAACTTCAATGTCATAAATTAAAGACATTTTCTTCTTTTGCTAGAAGATAGCTTTTTTTGTCGGAATGGAAGAGGTTTGTCTCATTCTTTCATACATAACCTTAATTTTATGGCAGCAATTTTAAAAAAAGTGCCACCAGAAATCAACTATTTTAACTCAAGATTTTTGGTGGCACAAACGTTACTTGTTTAGGGGACCAAATGACACATTGAGAGGCTGCCTGGACCCATGGCAGGATTGAAAAATAGGATAATTTTAAAAAATAGTTAAATTTAAAGCAAAGTCAACCATATATCTAAAGTTTCAAAATAATCCAAAACTGGTACATTAAAATGTGTCAATCCCAAAGACTTGTATAAAAATCTGAAATTAATGAGTGTTGTACATGAGCTTTCAATGACTTTCTAAAAGATCTCTTTAAATTATAAAATGGTCTGATCCATACGATGCTATTGTGTGGATATGGCCACAATTCTACTTCCATTTGACTAGCTCTTTTGCCATACTACAAATCTAGAAATTCTATAAAGAGGTCAAGAAATCTACTTTCGGAAGCTGTCAAACTCTACCAAAGAACGCATATGTTATTTTTAAGAGTGATTTTCCTGTTCATTTTTATTTGCTGCTTCTCCTGCCATGTAATTAATATTTTATCAATTGGACAAAGCAATTTAACCTCCACCAATAGGTGCTATTACATGTATAGTATTTCAATTCCCAGCATCTCTAGTTAGCATATCCAATAATAAAATGAGATGGAAGTTGTAATCCAATAGCATGAAAGATATCGAAATGGAGAAAGATAAACCAGAATACGTAGGTATTTAAAATACTTATGTGAACTAAATGTTAGCATGGGGTATGCCTATGTGAGGGTCTGTGAGACCAAATTCAAAGGAGCAACTTTATGATGGCAGCTAAACAAGATACCTTTAATCAAACTCACCAAATTTGTGTGTTAGTGCAACCCAATTCTGATCCTGGAAATCATATATAGATATAAATCATATATTTTTCTCTTATGCATTTGCCCCAATGACCAGTACTCTGAAAGCGGCGTCAAAAGGTTCAGTCTTGAACTAAGAAACAGCTAGTTGTGAATTAAGTGTTTTGCAGACTGACTGTTTTACTAGGAAGCACACAACTGTCTATTAGGGCTAGTCCAAGTGGTTAAAGGCAAGACTGACTCTATCTCCAGGGTGATAGATGTGGTATTTCAAAAGTACATGTATGACCAACTAAATAATCAAGCTGCACAATTCTGAGAGCTGAAGTCCCAGCTAAATGATTGTGCTGCACAATTCTGAAAGTTGAAGTAAACACATGCAGGGAAGGTGATACAGATGGGTCAGTATGGCTTACCTATATCAAAAAAGCTATATGTAAAAAATATTTTAGGACATCAAATGTATAAAATGTGTGTTTTATCAATAGATCTCATGACCCATTCAGTTGAAAATGATACTACTAAAAAAGAGCAGTTTGTATACAAAACCTTACTTACTCCTTACTGGCAGAAGTCTCTGATCTAACAGAAAGGGAAACGTGTTTGTAGAAATCCATAACAAATAAACCTCAGTAATAAAAGAAACAAAAAAGATCACATTTATACAATGTTGTACTGCTTTGATTTTATGTCATTTTTTGAGTTTTGAATTCACTAGGCCTGCCCAATATCTTGTGGTAAACTTTAAGCTGTTTTATAGAATAATCCTATAGAAAATAACAGATGTTTTCCATTCCCGGCACCCATCCAATGTTTTATGCCAAATCAAAGGTTTATTATGTTTACAAGACCATCAAACATTATTTATGTATACATTGTAATTTCCAAGCAAGGTGTATACCATTTCAAAATTAAGACAAAAGTATTGACATGACAGTGGCAGAAAAACAAATATATATTTTTAATTGCTCCACATCTATCTTGCTTTCCAACAAAACAGTTCAATAGTTGTGTCTATGATAGACTATATTTTAAAAATAAAAATATAGAGGAACAATTCAGACTAAGAAACTTTCAGAATCAGGAATTTCCTGGATCATAATCACAGTTTTTCATCATTTCATTCTTCTGTAAAAATACTTTATCCATTCTTCAAGGCACTGTGATGTTGCAAGTCATAATTCTAAACATGCATTTCAGAAGTAAATATTTTATGGTAAGCAAGTTTGGAATTGAAGCTAAAATCCATAAATAAAATCCAAATGCTTAAATTTTAACTGAAATGCAACCTAGTAAGGATTTTCAAAATACGAAACAAGGCTTGTATGAAGGCAAATTAACAAGATTTAGAACTGGAAATAATACAATAAATTGTAACATTATTTATATTTAAGTTTGCAAAAGATCCTGAACAGTATTTATTAACAAAGTTACATTTCTTGTGCTATACATTTCATGCAACACAGGAAAAATCATTTGATAAACTTTTAAAATCAATCAATTCAGCATCACATTATAGTTACAAATTTAAGTGGTGAAACATGAAAGGCACTGAATAACAATTTTAAGACTACGGCTGAGAAATTTTAAGGAGGTTGTTAAAAATTTTGAAACTGGGAACGTTACACAACCTTCACGTGATGGACTTGAATCCATTCATGCAAGTCTGCAACGTCTTTGATCTCAAACATAGCAGCATTCAATATTATTGTGGGTAGGAGTATTAAACATGTACTTAATCAGTCTACTTTAAGTATAAAACGAAATGCATTGATCCTTCTTTTTTTCAGCTTCTCTAGAGCCAAAGCTAGCACTTGAATAGAATTCATCAGTTCTGGCTATGTTTAGAACCAATATAGACTCCATAGACATCGTGGGTGTTTAAGTTATACTTTCTTCTATCATGATCTCAATACTATATTCATGGCAAGCAGTATCTTAACCTTCAACATAACTGAAATCTTGCAATTGTTGAAAAGAAAGAAGTGAAATCATTTATTGCAAGAATTCTTGAATAAACAAGCTCATAATACTTCCTTGGATATATCAACTGTTGTAATTCACAAAACTGTCTTTTTCAAGCTTGTGTGCATGTGTGTGTGTGAGAAAGAAAGCGAATTAACTTCTGGGATTAATTCATTATCTAAAATTACCTACGGTAATTTCTAAAACTTTCTGTTTTAAAAAATATTTGTGTGTTTCTCAGATTCTGAACTGCCAATAGTCATAATTCATATAAAGACCAAATACCTTAATTAAAAAGCATCTATCAGTGAAATCTTTCCTTTTTTCTTACTTAAACTAAAGCATCTCTCACTAAGAAATCCATGAGAAGAAACTCCCTGCAAGTTGTCATCAGCTTCTTTAAGCCTCTTATAAATGGGTAAAGGGACTACTTTACTTATGTCCAGGAACTTCTGGCTGCCCAGTGAATTGTTTTACCTTTTTCCTTTGAAGAGCAGACCTCCCACTACATCACACTGCTTTGCCCTACTGCATTCATGGAATTTTATGGAGAAATTAGATATTATTGTCTTCTACTTGTAAACCTCCACGCTTTTTTCCTCAGTTTCTCTTTCTTTTTTTTTCTGAGCATAGAAATTTTATTAAGGAAAGATGGAACAGTCATACAATATCTTTTGATTAGTACCATTAGAAACATCTATGTGGAAGCACAGTTTCAAAGAAAAGAATTCTGCTTTTCAAAATCACATATCCAAAGCTCCCTTGTGCAAATCTTTGGATCCTGTGCTTTCAAGCTGGCAAATGAGGAATCAGAAAATTGAAAAGTGCTCAGTGCTTACACTGGGTCCTATTTCATTAAGATCCAAAGAAGGCACACAATGAATAATCCTGCATCGTAGATATGTTAAAACTGAAGACACCATCCCAGTAATTTTTAAGAGGTGAGATTTACAGTCTGGTCAAACACGTTTTACAGCTTTTGAAATAATACAAAAGCCTATTTATCAAGAATGAAAGTTATGCGTCTTTACACCATAAATGGTAATTCTCTTTCAAAACAGTTTCAGCTCTCTGGGGGAAAAATCATGTTTAAAACAGACACCAGAGAGAATCTCATAAGTAGTCAGCGTCTAGCTTCCCTTGCATAGCAACTCTTCAAACTGTCAGAAATATTAAATCACTAAGAATTGAAAAAAATAACACTTCTACTATTGCAAACCTACAATATTTCTCTCCTATCCTTGAGCTTTCTTCTGCCATTTAACCATTCTTCTTTCCCCCTCTAGATCTGCTTCTTGATAGATCATCTATAACATGAAGCTTAACACTACTAAAAGGAACGGGGGGGGGGGGAACAGTCAGAGAATTTCATACAAATAAAGGATTTACATAAAAGTTACATGTTAACTAAAATAAGAATAGGTGAGAGAATCCTAAATGTTTCATGATAAAGACTTGTGGTTGCTGTCTTCTGTATCTGATGCTTAAAAAAAATATCAGTAATATTAAATGAAAATGTGAATGTTTATACTTCTTCACAGCATTTTGTGCATTTTTTTAAAGAGGAATGTTAATTTGAAATACAAAAATTTGTAATTTCTGTAAGAGTCTCTTAGCTGTACGAAAATAACAATCTCATTGTATGTTGACATTCAGTGGAGCTTCAATTCTACATTAAGATTCTAATAAAGAGTGCCACCTACATATTTGTTGTCCTTTTGATTCTTTCATTTCAGTCCAGTGGTTCAGCTCCTCTTCACCAGAACTGTTCAAACCTAAAGAAATCCAGCCTATCATTTCCTTTCGCTTCATGCTGCGTTTGTTATACACAGATAATATAAGTGTAACATCGGAAAGCTGAAAGAGTGCCACTTGAAAAATAAAGGTCTCCTTGTAGACTGGATTTGGCTGTCCTCTTCGGATGGATGTCTTGCATTTGGACATCTCTTGACCCATGGAATTCAGCAATGTCAGCTTAACAAATGTATCTACAAAATAGACAATTTGATACATGAGTTGTATTGGACAAAACATTTCACCTACCAAAATATATCAGACTATCTTTAAGATTATGGTGTATACCATATTGGATTTGAACAATTGACTAAACTTGATAATGTGACAGAGAAAAAATATTTTATTATGACTTTTACTTAATTGTACCTATTCTCTCATAATAAATTGATTTACAGGTATACCACATAATCCTACTATTATCCCTTGCTCATTTGCACCAAGCAGATACATATAGCATTAGCAAGCTACAACTGGCACAGCACTGTAAAGCATATCAGAGTATTTAGATCATATAAATAGGTGTATAATGACATGAAAAAAGAAATTACAGGTAAAAGAATGGGAGTGGAGTGCAGTGATAACATCACAGTGTTCATGATGAAATGTTTGCTTAAAAATCTCTCTGCATGGATGTGGTTTCTTGTCAAGATTTTTTATTGGACTTTGTACAATTAAAGTGCCAAAATATAAAATTATCCACATAAAAGTTTATATTTACTCATGTGAATAAAGCCATGCATGATTTTTGCATGCAGATATGTGGTGCGATAAATAATTAGTACATAATTCTTTTGTACTAATTCTAATGAATAGTATGTCATACCATACTATTCAAGTACAAAATCTTTGCAATGTTTTTGTACAGGAAGCAGTATAAAATAGATTTAATAAATATAATAGTTAAAATATTCAGAGTACAATAAAAAATCCTAGATGCACAGAGGATACATTCGATACCCAGAGAGGAAAAGGAAGAAACCCCCCTCTGTCTGAAGCTCCATATGCGCACTGGGGCTACTAGACTATGAATATGAATTTAGTGAAATAGCATTGATATTCAAAATTTTCATTGTTACTGTTGTGTGGAAACACTTTGTCTGAGAAAATACAGTCATAATTATTGAATTGTGTATGTACTTCAATATTTGTTTTTATTTAAAAACAGAAAGATTTTCTGTCTTTTGTTTATTTTGTTATAGGCATGAATTTGAATTTTTAAAAAAAGAAATTTGGATTGTTTAAAAAAAAAAGAAATGCAATAATGAAATTGAATGTCCAGACATTTATTCACATGTTTATTTTATAAATCTTTGAAATACCACCATCCATAGTCAGAGATCAGCTCTGTCTCCAATATAACAGTGAAATAACTACTGTACATCATCAGAAACCAACATGGTAGAAAGTGGTGGAGAGCTTTGAAGCTGGCAGATTTCTTTTGCATGAAAAAGACAACATCTAATTAGTCTCCACAGGAACTCACCTCGTATTATATAAACCTGTCCACCTATCAAGTGTTTTAGACAACAGAACAGTCCATCTGACAACGGGGGTGGGGTGGAAAGCAGTAAAAGAAATAATGACCAGATGTCAATAGTTGGGTGACACAGGATCAAAGGTTAAAGTTTAAGAGGAAACACTATTCACCAGAGTGAAAGAAAACAGCACCTTAAGAAATCAATTTTAGAGAAAAGAATTGAGCAAAAGAATGGGTAGGTAGATTAATGAATGAATTTTGTTATGTTCACTGTGTAATCTTTAACAAAAAAAATTACACTGTTTCAAATAATGTAGTATCTTAATAGTAATTTCTGTTGGGTTTAAAACACAAGTGCATGGAGATTCATGCAAAAAAGTCAGGCTATCAACTAGAAATCAAATATGTTCTTTAGCAGACCTTCCTCTTTTTCATGCAAACTCCAGCTTTCTAAATAAGGATCAATTAAACAAACTCAGAGTAGAGAAGGTCAATAGAATTACAGTAAAATAAATGATTGCTGAATGGCATTCTGTGTGTACTGTAAACAAAATAATGAAATCTGGTTAAATTAATTTACTTTGGCTACTTTACTCATTTAATGCTACTCTGCTGCATCTTTCATTTGAGAAAATGATTTAGGCTAAAATGCAAGTTTATTAGATCAAAGGTTTTTTTTAAAAAAATTCAAAGCTACATGGTTTCTTCAGTGCACATAAAAGCTTCCCATAAGTTCAAATTTCCAATTCAAATTGTAACATTGGGATAACACTAAATAAACAATGATAATTATTAAACAGACAATGCCCTATGTGCACAAGATTCCCTATACTACTATAGTGTGAGTCCACATGAAATGGAAAATAAACAAAATAAGCAATTTTTTCTTAGTTCTATCAAGAATATCAAAATAGATTTTTATTGGTTTTGCAACAAAGGTCATTTGCTACCTTTATCTAAAAATGGTGTGGATATTCCCCAGCAATCTCTTTTCTCCGCCATGACAATTGCTTTCATCTTGTCTTCAACCCACACATGTGACAGCTTAAAGTCATCCTTTGCTAGTTTTGGCATTAAACTAGTATTTTAAACAGCCAACAGGCAATTTTAGTACAGACACAGTTTGATATACTTTACTAATCATTTTGTCAGTTGTGCTGTCAGAGGACTTCTAGGAGTTTTATCAGCTCAGGAACTAATGGCCACTTAAGATGGGTACATGTACACTTTTGTGGGCCCTGGGCATTGTACTCATATACAGCTTTGAGTAACAACGAGTTCTGTGTTGTTTTCTAATGCCACTATGTCTTTCCTCTGTACATGTTCTACACATCTCTCTGATTCAAGGAACTTGGATTGGCCTGAATAATAGTTGACCAGGGATGCCTGTATGATGAAGTATACAAAGAGATAATTAATTTTCAGACACTTCTGATACAATTCCTCTCTCACTAAGCCTGTCTATTGCTGTTTAGACTGCTTCTAAACACAGATTTTCAGCATTTGCTGAAAAGTGATAAATCTGAGAAATATCTAACCAAAAGCGATTATGTACACTGAGAGCATATGCACCAAGACAAATTCCTTGTGTGTCCAATCACACTTGGCCAATAAAAAATTCTATTCTATTCTATTCTATTATGAAGTTGTGAAGGGAAGTGCATGCGCGCACACACAAACACTCTGAGCTGATTCAAATCTGGAACGGAGGCAAATGGCATGGGCAATGAGACTGCAGACTTATACCAGTTTAATTTTTTGCTGGCTCAAGGAGAGGAGAACGCTTGTGAGCTATGCAAATATCCTTATAAATTGATTTGGTGTAATGAAGAACTGTGAAATGTAAGATCTTCCTACACCACCACCACCACCACCACCACCCACCCCAGTAATTGGTAAATAGGTAGACAGCCAGACAGGCATCACATCATCTAATATGTAGACTGATCTATTGGCTTTTATTCTGTTCTTGAGTTGCTTTCTCATCTGAAATACATATTCTGAAAGTTTGCATCCAAAAAATGTGTTACACTTTTGTATGTCTTCTAGACAGCTATTTGCAATCTAGCATGTAAGAGACATTCAGAAATTCTGAGGCATTTTTGATTAGAAATAAGGAGTTTAAGAAACAGGAAGCATCTTCTACAAATTTTGTACTTGGCAGACTCAACAAGATTTTTAAAAATATACCAATAACTATGGAGGAGAGGAGATTTTCATTACAACCATAATGCTTCCATTAATAACCTGAATGGAAATTGATCCCTACTCTGCAATAATTTCTAAGTAGGGGAGCGGTGAACCATGAGTGCAAATGAGGACTTCCTTATGCTAAGTAATTTTAGCATGATAAGTTTTGTATTTTGATCATGGCTGGGAAATGAGATATTTGGACTTCCTTCTTTATTAATTCTGGTTAAGATGAAAATTGGACTTCTCCACATTTAACATTAAATGTAATGATGTTGCTAACCATATAATTTAAACAATATCTAGAGTGATCAAAAAGCAGAAATGATTAACAAGTAACTAAAAATGTTATTTTTAGGACAATGTAAGCATAACATCAGAAAGCTGAAACTGCCACTTTTAGACATGATTTAGCTGCTCTTCAGACCAACCTGTTTGAGCATTACAGCAACCTTAAAGCACAACCATATGTTTCTTTCAATAAATAGCAGCTTGATGTCATGTTCATATCATTTCATGCATATTTATTAGTATAATTTTCTTGGTCCTATATCATAAATTAAAAATAATTTTTTTAAATATTTGCTGTCAAAATGGATAAGCAATAGATAATAGGTCTCAATATTATAAGGGCATATTTCTGTCCTTATAATATTTTGGAAACAGCATCATGTCAAGTGCGCCCTTTGCTCTCATTGTGTTACTGAGAAAGGACCTTGTCACCTGAAACATGCCTACCTGTAAGCATGATAAAAACTATGGTGTACCTTTTCTGTGGCTGCCCTCTGAGACCGGACAGGCTTCCCTTTGAGATTCAAAGGGCTCCCAACCTATTAGCCTTCTAGAGGGCTATGAAGATCTGGCTCTTCAACCAGGCTTTTGACTAGGGGGAGATGGAAACCCAGCACATCTAAGACTGTGAAGAGTTTATGTGATATTATAGCACCGCAACCAGGCTAATCATGTATATAATGGGATTTGGTTAATTTTGTTTATATTATTTTTATTTAATATTATTGTAAGCACCTAGGATTATGTTATATAAGATAGGAAGTCATATAAGTTTCCTAAATAAAGAAATAAATATTGGTCTTGTTTAATTGTACTTTTTCAAATGGACTTTTGTAGATATATGGTAGCTAGACTGTTTTGTAGTTTTACAGACTTTTGTAGGAAGTCTGGATCCAGATGTCAGATGTACTTCTGATTCCTTTTTGCAGAATCTGGTCATTAGAAATGTACAAAAAGTTACATCAATTATGCCAATTTTAACTATTTTTCTATTTAGCTGTGGTCATCTTACTACATTATTTAATTTTATTCTTGAAAATTATACATCACACAAATATACATGACCATTCATGCATATTTACTTGGAATGAAGAATAAATACTACTTTTAATCACCACAGAGAATATCAAATGTATATTACCACATGCTGATATCAAATTCTCATAGATTTATAACATCTTATTTTAGTATTATTAACCACAGAAATGGCAACACATTTACATAAACATTTACCACACAACTTTTAAAATACATTATAATTTTCTATAATGGCTTTGTTATATGAGACATTAATAGTTTAGTAGTTAATCATTAAGATAAAGGCAATTTATCAGCCAGTCAATCATAAAAAATTAAAAGGATCTTGTTGAATCGCAACCAATATTTAGAATTTTAGATTACTGCCATTTCCCCAATGAAAACATGAAACAGATTAGCTGATGATTATACTATTTCAGTTTGACTGGGTAAGGCTAAATGATAGGACTGAAGTCCCTACCAGTGAAATCCCCCCAAGTGCAGAAGTATTAAGATGAAATAATATATATATTCTACTCACTGGGTGGTCTGTTTGCTGCCAAGTTTTTGAAGTGACTGCCTTTTATCACTTCTGCTGCTAGTCTTCCAGTTGTGGCATTATAAAGCAATCCGATGAGAATTTCGGGAGCTGAGCCATGTGCCAAAGATTGACAAGAGGAAATACTTTCACTGCAGGAAGCCTCTGACATACTCATTTGGGACTCACAGCCCTAGAAGCAAAAGCAGCGTTTGCAATCATTTTAAGTCATCACAATAGTGAGGAATCTGCTCCTAGTATTAATTTTCAGAATTTTTCATTCCTAATGGTGCATAACGTAATGGAAATACATAAATAAATGAATGAATAGGGGGATGCTATAAGCCATATTTATAGCATTAAATGCAAACTACATCTCCACTTTATATGCCAAAGAAAGGTGTATCACAAAGGCTTACAGAATTATTGGCAAATGCTTAGCATGGCTCTTTGAGTAGAAATGAGTTTATCTGCTTGTTTCTTTGTTTACTGGGGTTAAAGATATATAATCATAATAGATTCTGAATGGTGGCATACAAATCCAATATAGTAATCAGATTAAAAATAAATAAAATATGTAAAGTATATAACTGAAAATATTCAGGTATCATTAACAGGACTTTGCACACAGGCGTTTCCCTTTAGGGGAACCAAAATAACATATGAAGTCACAAAGACATATTATAAGAAAAAAAATAGGTCAGAAAGCGGGAATCCACAGCATCATGACATAGGATATCTGCTAATTTGTATACTGTACATACATTCATATGTACATACTGTGCATATGAAATTAAATCATTTAGTTAGTGAGGCGTTTTTTTTCACAAACAAGAGAAGCCCTGATTTTTGTTCGCTTGGTTTTTGTTTAATTAACAGCACCTATTCAAATACGGGATGCAACATTTTAACATTTTCTTTATCTTTCTGCTTACGCAAACAACAACAACAACAACAACAACCCATGTGTCTGCTACTGGTGCTACATAGCTGGCAAAGTCAAGTTGAGCTGAGTCAAATCTTTTTCAATCTTAATTCATCTTCTAGTAATTAGGTATTTTTTTAACTCCCCACATACATACTAAAACTCTTGTTTCTATAATCTTTAATTGTGCAAAACAGTGTATCATAGGGCAACACTTTTTGAGCCCGGGTACCCAAAATCTGTGACCCATGACTCCCAACTGAATGAAATTTGGAAAAGTTGTGACTGCTTCAGCGCTACTGTTACTATGCTGCTGGGTTGCTGCTTCAGTCACACAATCTTCATTTTCAATGTCTGTGACAGTTTCACAATCAGTTTCACAATCCTTGCTTGGGTATTAGGAAGGGAAGGGGGAACAGGTGAGGAGGGGAGGGAAGTGAAGGAGAGGATAGGAAGGGACAGACAGAGAGAAAGGAATCCCCATGGAACCCCTTGATATATGTCACACCCCAAGCACTTTTCCTGACCCATGTGGCACCTCTTGCACCATCCCTATGCACCTTTCCTGACCTATGCCATTTCCGTGTGCCCTCCCCAATCTGTGTGGCACATCTCTAACATCTCTGGGGTCCTCTTGAACCCTTCTCAACCTGCACTGCACCCATATGCCTTGCCCAATCCACAGAGCATCTCTTGCACGTATCCACACTCTTCTTGCACAGCAACTCTCTAACATACACCCATATATCCTTTGCTCCCTCCCTATCTGGTAGCAGCCGCTTACTTGCCTGATGCCTTAGACTTGGACCTTCCAGCTGACTTCCTCACTGGTTTTCTCCTTAAAAACTTCTGACAAGCAAAGTAAATGGGGAAGCTGGCGAGAATTCTAGGGAGGGAGGGAAGAAAAATAATGACAGAAGAAAGGTTGGGAGGGAGAGAGGAAGGATGGGAGAGGAGGGAGGGAGGGAGGGAGGGAGGGAAGGAAGGAAGGAAGGAAGGAAGGAAGGAAGGAAGGGAGGAAGGAAGGAAGGGAGGGAGAGGAGGAAGGAAGGAAGGGAAAGGAGGAAAAGAAGGAGGGAGGGAGGAAGGAAGGAACATGAGGAAGGAAGGAATGGAGAGAAGATAAAAAGGAAGGAAGGATAGAAAGGAAGGAGGAAGGGAGGGAAGGAGATTTTTGAAGCTCCCTGCCAACTTCCCACAAGGTAAGTCAATGGGAAAGCCGGCAGGAATTTGGAAGTTGCCCCCACTCCCACTGCTTTTTTTTTCTCCTGCCTGCTGTTTTTTTCTGTTTCTCTGTTGAGGTAAAGAAATAGCTTTGAAAAATATCTTAATGGGACACAAGTTACCTAATCCAATTTATAACCTTGGGTTTTCCTGGTAGTCTCCAAAGCAAGTTCTAACCAGATCCAACACCATTTTGATACCTTACCCTACCTCCCCCAAGAGCAGTTATGTTTGCCAATGTGATGCCTCTGATTGTGAGACACAGTGCTTCTACCTGTTATTAAATACATAAAAGAAATCAGAGAAGACCATTAATGGGATGTCTTATATTAATATCTACCTGCCTTCTTGAAATTCTGTTCCACCTGATTTCAACGGTGTGTTTGACTCATCAGTAAAGAGCCTTAAAGACATGCTATCTATCTTTTTCAGGCCAAAAGATTTTCCAACCAAAAGATTAAAGTGCACATGGCATAGGCATAGCCATCTCTTTAGATATTCCCTTGACTATCAGGAAACAATGAAATTCTTATATACAAACCTCCCCCTTCCCCATACAAGACTACTTAAGGTAAAATCAAATTTTAAAAAAAACACAGTTCTTTAACTGAGTATAACCAGGAGACTGAAACATTTCAATATTATTATGTACAGGCTTAATTTATTATTCCAGAGTCTATAAAGCTATATCAAATTTTCTTTCTGAAATCATAAGTGATATTGAAAATACATACATAGACAAATTATTCTACAGACAAAAGCATCACACGATTCATAGATTGTTTTATTCCCAAACTTAAACTATTAATGTATGTTGAAAATGAAATGACAAGCAGGCTTGATATACTGCAGTAAATCCGTGTTCCAACTTCCTTAATAAACATTTGATGAGGTAACAATAGGACCCTTGTGCTACTTTTCTCATTTGATACTTGATCTACGATACCTTTATAAGATTTCCAATAAAACTTACATAGTATGTCATAGTGAGATAAACATTAAGAAGATAAATTATTTAATCTCTCTGGAATGTGATGTGACAAGGCAGTGAAATTACTGCTTAACTATTTTTTATATTTTGATGCCTGACAGACATCTATCATATGTTGCAATTTTCACTTATAAGTCACAGACAACTTTCCAAATCAATGCCTGCCCTCCCTTGAGACACATTTTGGATCTCAAACAGGAGACTAGAAAGAGCAGGGCCCAAACCATCCATTACAGTGAATGCACTCACAACTATCTGTATAGCACCATTTACACCAGGGCTGTCAAACTCGTGGCCTGCAGGCCGGATGCATCACGTGCTGGCCATGCCCACACCCGATTTAGCGAAGGGGGGAAAAGTCCCAATCCATCACCTGATGCTGCCATGACGACGTAAGTTTGACACTCCTGATCTATATCTATCTGCTGCATAGTGTCCTCAGAGGCAGAAGAGCCTAATATGTCAACTAGGTTCTCATACAGACGGAAATGAGTAGATCTCTAGATCAATGTTTCTCATCCTTGGCACCTTTAAGATATTTAAGCATATTGACTGGGGAATTTTGGGAGTTGAAATCCACACACAAGTTGCCAAGGCTGAGAAACACTGATCTAAATAGCTCACATGCTCTCTTTGTATATAAAATGCTGAAGTTGGAAAATAGCCAGCATGTCTCTCTAGGCTGGTCACTGAGGAAGAAAGCAGGTCTACTTTTCAAAATACCTAACAGATGTCTTGTTTTGAGGGACCTTTCCTCAGAAGGAAATACTGTGGACAGGAAGGCTGGCATACTGTCTATGTTCTCAACCTGTGGCTCGTGGAACCCTGGGAAACCGCAATGTCGTCACAGGGGGTCCACGAATGCTTGAAGAAATGTTATGATTTAAATCTTAAATTATGGCCTGTCTATGACCACAAAAGGTATTTAAAGGGTGGAAAATGTTGAGAACACTGCTCTATGTTACAGCAGCACAAATGGTCTGACAATGCTTCGTTTTAAGGAAGGGCCCCTACAAGCAAAGTACTGAGAGATGGGATTATATGCAATGTGACTAAGGAAGGAGGAAGTATATGTTTCAGGGGGCAGAGTTTCATGTTCTGGCATTGGAGCTGCCTATTGTTTAAAGGAACACAAACTAGAGCTTTTTCTAGGCACTATCTACTGAAATCCAATATTTTAGGCGGTCTCAACACACAGCTAGGTTATAGACTCTGAATATTCATATCAAAGTGGTGGATATCTTAATTATCGTAATTCAGCCTATGAAACAGAGTTCAAATCAGTTCATCTAGGGACCGGAGGTAGCTCTGGCGTTCCCAATTTAGAAGCACAGTGGAGGTACCTTGTTTCTGTGAAAATAAGACATCCCCTGATAATAAGTCCAATTGGGCTTTTGAGCACATTCGCTAAAACAAGCTTCCCCCAAAAAATAAGCCCTCTCCGAAAATATTTAAACGTAGAGCTGGAAATCAGGTAAGATGGCAAGAGGAGCTCCATCTTGCTTCACGTGCCCCAAAATAATAAGATCTCCCCAAAAATAAGGCCAAGTGCTTATTTTGGGGTTCAAAAAAATATGAGACAGGATCTTATTTTCAGGGAAACATGGTACTTGAAATCCATTGTCCATTAGTCCTTGATAGAGTCCTTGATAGAACCAGTTTGGTGTGGTGATTAATACATCAGGCTAGAATGTGAAATTAGTCCTGCCTTAGGTACAAGATTAGCTAGGTAACCTTGCGCCAATCACTTTCTGTCAGCCCTAGGAAGCAGGGAATGGTAAATCGTTTCTGAAAAAAACTTGACAAGAAACTGCAGGAACTAATTCAGGAGTCAAAAACTGACTCAAAGGCACAAACACACAACACACAAACAGGAGCACAATCACTCTATCTGAACATATCAGGTGGAGACAAGCAGTCCTCAGATAATCAAGTTCTATGCCACGAAGAGCTCTATAGGTGACAACCAACACTTTAAATTGCACTTAGAAGCTGACTGGCAACCAAAGCCATATGTCTATGAGCTATGCCATATAGATATAACAAGATGTATCTATTATGGATCATACTGCTACGTTTTGAACCAGCTACAACTTCTGGCCGATCTTTAAGAGCAACCCCACATAGAACATTTTGTAATAGTCAAATTGCAAAGTAACCAGGATGTAAGTGACAGATTATTTGAAGATTCAGTCATTCTTCTCAAATCCTGCTAATATGTATGCCCAATGGCATATCTATCTTGTGCCAACACCTGCTTTGCATTTTGAACTTCTTAGCTGGGCTAATTCTACACGGTTTAGCATTGTATAACTAATCTGAATTTACTTTAGAACCATTGAAAAAGATTTCCTCATGGAGTTCTATGGGAACTGTGCAAGTTTATATAAGGATCTTTTTTATGTCAGTTCAGCACTGTGGAAAAGAGTTCAAGACCAGGTAATTCAGAATGTGCCATATGCTTTCTATTCTAAATGTTAATAGCAAGAACATTAAGCTCACATATCTATTGATACGGGGAATTTAACACATAGCAGAAAACTAGGCTTCACTATTTCCATGCTAATGAAAAGCAGCAATATGTTTAGAAACAGCAGCTCCCAGTTTCATTTGATTCAATGGATGTATTTTTGCGACAAAAAATTTCATGACTAGAAATATCTGAATAGTCCATATGAAGTATTTAACGTTAGCCCTTACCCCTCTCAAAGGAGAGTCAGAGAGAAGCGAGCTCTAACAGAAATATTTACTCTATTGCATGTTTTCAGATATTCATAGAAAGATGGGTGGCCACAGATAGATAATTTCTTTTTCCTTTGAGTAATCAGAAAATGAACTGACCAGAAAATGAGCTGAGTCAACCCCTGAGCACTCCACAATTGGGGTTATTTGGGCCTATAGCCCACTGGACAGATTCACTCATTGTTCTGCTACTGAAAAAGCTCTCTTCACAAATTGCTGTCTAAATGAATATTGTAATCTTGTGTGGGGTCTTTAGGGGAAAATGGGTACCACCCCAGAGCAAGGGTTAGGGAACAAAGAGGGAGAAAGGAAAAATATCACTGCTTCCTTTAAAGGCTACTAATGCCATTCCCCTCTACTATGAGATCAAGCTCTTCTTCCTTGTCGTTGCTCAATTGTTTCCTTATATCTCAATTCTTTGTCCAAAGATGCCTTTGGGACCAAATGATGCCGACAAGAAAGAAAAGTCCCTCTTTTCTAGATGGCAGAGCTAAGACTGAATTCTAACAGGGTATCTCCATAGAATGCAGAAGACTTAGCCCTGCGGAAACTGAACTTAATTAGAAAATAAATAACTGGAAGAGGTGGACTTAACCCTTTCCTGTCAGCTCCATCTTTAATTATTGAGAATAATCTCCAGCCATCCTGTCAATAGATGCTTAAACTTGATCAAAAGCCTTCTGCCAATAAAGGACACTGATGTAAGAGTTTTGTGCAAAAATTTAAATTAAAAAAAAAAAGAATGGAACAGTTGACCAATGAGAACAAATTATCTCACTTAAGAAATGAAACTATATAATTCAAAACTAAATATTTGTTAGTTTAGAAAACTAACTTATATAACAATACCTTTGTTTATGTTCCATTCTCAGTAGAAAAAACCTGAAACCTAAAAGAACTGGCTGTCCACAAAATTAAGCAATACTATATGATCACATTGGACAGTTTATGACTTCAAAGTAAACATGGAACAGAACAGTTTTTAATAATGAAGAAATTTGTTACTTATGGCTTATTAATGGCATAAAAATATATTTGAAGAAATAATAATTTCAAAATAATTCTAGGAATTATTTTTAGGAAGTTTAAAATTTAACCAGGTTCCTCTTTAAAAAACCATTTTCCTACTTTTTATGCCTTTCCCACTATTCCCACTATTTCCCACTATTAGTTATAATTTCTTTTCCTGCTGTCTCCAAATTATTAGTAGCTTTTGATTTCAGTGGTAGTTTTTCACTTATTCAGCTAAGCGATATACTATAACTCTGGTAGCTCAAACATTCTGCCTAGTAATACATGTAGTATTCTATGTTGTACATCTTATGATTACATTTACAATAGTGGCCAATTTTAAATGTTGGATTTCAGTTAACACTTTCTTCTGCTTGAAATAGCAATCCTTGAATGAACTTTTCCTGAAAGTATTCTCAATGTTAGAAAGGATTAGAAGGCAATTTCTGTTCCCCAGCCTCACATTATTTTATCAAGTCATTCAATTCTTTAAAAGTAGATTGCAGAGGCATGTGGGGATAAAGGAGAAGAGGATACAAGCTGTCCTCATTTCATTCTCTCATTTAGAATCAACATCTGAATCAGAAATAGATTATCTGTTTTTATATTATTATCAATATATTATACAATATAATGAAAAAGAACCAGAACCAATCAAAGAAAGAACCAATCAGCAGAAACAAATGATTTAATCACAGTCATTACAGTAGCATCAAATTGCTTTGAAATGTCTGGGTAAATACCTATGTTTTAGCCAGGCATAAAAACAGCCCTAAGATTAGCATAAGGCATACTTCTAGCAAGCAAATTTAGCACTTCTTGGGAGCAAGCATTACTCATAACTAGAACACAATAGGATAATAATAATAATAATAATAATAATAATAATAATAATAATAATAATAGATTTTTATCAATGTGCTTTGCACAGTAGTTGGATGAGGCAAGTTAGTTGGAAAAAAAAGAGAGATCTTGACTTATACTTGGGTCTCAAATCTTTTAAGGGCTTCCAAATCAAAATCAATACCTTGACACTGACTTGAAAGGAATCTATGACCTTCATGGTCATAGCTTCCAACCAGCATGATCAATGATAAGAGATAATGAAAGGTGATTACCTTTCCTTGTTCTTACAACTACCCTACAGCAACACTTAGCTTCAAATTTCTAAGATGTGTTTAATTATATTTACTAGTAGCACCTCTGTTCAGAATCAATTGAATGAATGACTGAACGTTTATTCAATTTGATTTAATACTTACAGAAATGTTGTATGCTGGTTCTAGAGTCACCGGTACTGACATCTTTCCTTGAAGATTTAATTTGGTTAAGTAAAATATCTTTTCTCCTAAAATTCTTTCTCTTTTTACACGACGTATACTGTATAGTCTAAAGCGTATTGCATAATTCCCAATCATCTCAGACTCAATATGATTAAATTTAAATGTCTCGGTAAAGACAGGGCAAGGACCACGCTGGATGCTGGTTTTTGCCCTCTGTTTCTTGATAGGAAGGAGAACTAGGTGTACTTGCCACAGACTTCCACTTGTCTTGCTATAATTTGGAATGTCTGTGACAGCTGTGACTGTTATCAGAAGCTTCTGTTCCTGTGAGTCATAGTCGAACGTCACATCCAAGGTACCATATTTAGCTTCTGGTTCTGGATCAAAAGATTTAGGGAGCTGTGATGATGATCCTTGAACTGACAGATTCTAAGTGAGTGAGACAAAAAAAAAAAGTAGGTTTACAGTCATGCACATGTATTCAAATATTTATATTGCTATTGATATATATGAATAAAAGTAATTTTCATATATCTATATCTATCATATATATATATAATTCAGTGTGTGTGTGTGTGTGTGTGTGTGTGTGTGTGTGTGTGTGTAGACACACAATATATACATACATACATATATATATATTTGTTTTCGTAGATTTTCATGGGTAGAGGTATGCAAGTTTTGGTGTATTCGGGTCTTTTCCCGTGTAAGATTGAGCGTATCTTGGCGACGTTTCAACGAGGTCCCACTCGTCATCTTCAGGCTGGTGTCTTCATCTTCGTGCTTGTGAGAGGAAATTCGTGCTTCCTCACACAAGCACGAAGCCAAAGACACCAGCCTGAAGATGACGAGTGGGACCTCGTTGAAACGTCGCCAAGATACGCTCAATCTTACACGGGAAAAGACCCGAATACACCAAAACTTGCACACACACACACACACACACACACACACACACACATATATTCCAAAAATATCAAAATAATATCTTTCTTTGCATTATACAAAGTTTTTGTTTATTTCACATACAGAGCAATCAAACAATCTATTAAGGACAATATATGCACAGCAACAAAAATATACTTTTATAGATTGCAAAAAAAGTAAAATGGGACATGGGAAAAAGAATATCCAAAGTCTTATTGCATCTTAGAACAGAGGGGAAAGTTTAAAGTTTTACAGGAGATGTGTTTAAACCAAAGAGATGTATAAATTGATCATTTATTCTTTAAGTATAGAATAGAACATTTCGGGTTGTAACATAATAACAACAAAACATGTGCACATCTCTACTAATATATCTGCATATATATTTTATTTCACTGCCAATTGTTCACATGGCTTTTGATTTGTGGTGTACATTCTAAGTTGCTTAACTGTTGCAGGACAGAAACTCCATACCATTTGTTTGATCCTAATAAAGATATGTACTAGGCACTAGGGAATGCAATTTTCTTAAATTCTAAATGAAATATAGCATTTTTATTTTGTATTTTAAAGTTAGAATGAGGGCTTCTTGATTTTTAGTTAACTTGTAGAATTTGGATTATCATTATTTATGAAATTAATTAATATTGTAATTTTTGTGTTGACATAAAGCCTTATCTAACAGTTCTAGTTGCTGGAAGACAGGAAGACTCTTCTAGTTAAGAGCTGCTAGCTGACATATTCACGCAGCTATTTCACTGTTAGAAACATGCATGTTGATTCGCAAAGCAGCTTCAAAACATTTTTTTCCTATGAAAATTCATTGATGCAAAACATCTCCTCAAAGCTCTGCGCAGCCCTGATGATTACTATGTTTTATAATCCATGGTTAGAGCAATCAATGTATTCTGATTCTGAATGATAATATTCCCCTTCTATGGATTATGAATTTTTCTCTCATGAAGCCACACAGTTATCAAAATTTCACATAGCTGCAGTATTTGTGCTGAATATAAAAATGCAATAAGGAATAACAAAACACACTGTTTTTAACAAAATTATACTGATTGCAATAACAACAAAATAAATATAAATATAAAACAGAAAATTGCATGGTCAAATTTGGTCAAATTGGTTATTACATAGAAGCAAGGACCACAAAAATAGAAAATTAAAAGAAAAATTAGATAAGATTATATTCACAATAAAACTTTTATGTGAATAGCTTTTAAAAGTTAATGGTGGTGATAATCTGAATTTTGCAGGCAGGCAGGTTTAAATCATGATTTTGCATATATAAACAAAAGTGACAGATTTTGTATAATGTAAAGCCATTTTGATACAAATGCTGGATCCTACAAATGCCTCTGGATACTTGTATGAATGACAACTTGTCCAACTTTCCTTAATTCCTTGAGTATCTTTTACAAAATATGCATTTAGAGGAAGGAAAGAAAAATAGGCCTAATTTTAAATGAAATATTGTGAAGTTAAAGAGTGAGTATGTATGTATGTATGTATGTATGTATGTATGTATGTATGTATGTATGTATGATAATTTTGTCTTCTTAAGGCTGAACTCCAAATCTCAGCCTGTATGTAAATGTAAACGGTAATGTTTTATCTACTTCAGCTTGAGTTCTGGTGATTTTGTGGACATACCTACATAGATTTTGAGGCAATAAAGGGAAGTGGTTTGCCGCTGCCTTCTAACAGGATATTTTATAATTTCCATTCTAGTCTATAACCCTGGATTTTCAGGTCTCTCCTATCCAAGTTTTAACCAAGTCATACCCTGCTTAGCTTTTTGAGAATAGCTCAAGTCAGCTGGTGTGACATCCTACTGGGTTGCATATTATGCAAGAGGACAGAAGTAAGCAACATTTTGTTAATACTTGTCTTAAGAGGTGTTAAGAAGACAAATACCATATAGTCAACAAGATTTTGTTGTATTATTTTTGTTGCAAATTGTGATAAATATACAATCTGGCATAAAATTAAGAACTTTTATGAGTTTCCTGTTCCAAAATGGCAAGAAAATGCACCAGGAAAAGAGGTAGAGCAGTGGGGGCACATAAAGTAGGGAAATGTAACTCTTAGCTCAGGAGCTCTACTTATCCTATGGTATATTTGTACAGGGCCTATACCTTAATACTTCAATATGAACACTCTAAGACTTTACTATGCACTACGAGCATTGCTTTTACACTGGCCTTCTTTTTGTAAACAGAAAAGACCTTTGACATCTCTGTTAACCTGAGAAAAAATGTTTAATGAGGGTTTTTAAAATTGTTTTTCAGAAAGCACATACGTAGGTCAATCAATGGATACCTGTCAATACATAATAGAAAAGAGCTTAAAAAATTCATGCTTCATTTTATGCTAAACAGTTTTGGGAACTTTTTTTTTTTTTTTACCTCTGGGCTAAGGACAGCAGTACTATCACTAGGCACATCTTCTTCATATCCTTTGTTATGGAAACTTTCTATTTCATGCCCGTTACTTCCTTCACTTGGGCATTTATAAGAACATCTTGGGCTGTTGCTGCACTGAGAGAATTCACATTTGCTCTCACCAACTTCAGAAGGTGTACAGGAGAGATGCGGAGAGCCACTATCATCCATGTATGGTGGAGGCTGCAATTCATCAAGAGGAGGTGTTTGTCTCATTCTTTGAATACAGTCTGCTGTGAAGAAATGACAGCATAGACTTTCATTTTGTAAGTAATATGACTAGAGGGTAGGCAAAGGATTTGTTTGGCTAGACCATATTCAAAGTGGGGTTCTGATTTAAAAAGAAACACATTGAACTTACTCCATGTAACTTACTAAGGCCTGACAGATCCAGATACGTGTTGTTTGCCCAATCTTCCAAAATGGTCCACCTTTGCTAATTTTCACTGCTGCTAATAGTTTTGTTCAACTATATTTTGACCTTGTATATGAAATAGAAACCATTAGTACATTCTGATATATTTTAACTGTGCCTTGAATAATAAGTTTGCACCTACCCTGTTTCTCCCAAAATAAGACATCCCCTGATAATAAGCCCAATCGGGCTTTTGAGCGCATGGCAATAAGGCCAAGCGCTTATTTCAGGGTTCAAAAAAAATAAGACAGGGTCTTACTTTCAGGGAAACACGGTATCAATATGTATAAAGCTTCTTTGACTATTATTATTTAGCGCATGTCCTGATCCTACATTCAGTCATAGTTTTGATTTTGCAAAGTATACTAAAGATTTTTGTCTTTATGGCAAAACCCACACCCAAATGATCATAAATGATTTTATTTATGCTATTAATTAATTACTGAAATGGATCAACTGAAACATTTTTACCCAATTAAAAACATAACTCTGCATAATAAGATACTTTAAAATGTATACTCATTGAACTGGCATTCCACCTTCTATCTCCATTACAATAAAAGGGCTGCATCTTTTAAAATAAATCGCTTGATATATTACACATAAATATGCATATCTAAAAAAAAAGAAAATAATTTCTTTCAAAATCATTTTTTTTTTTGCTTTAATTTATATGTTGCCCTTCTCCAGAGACTCAGGGCGGCTTACAATGCGTTAAGCAATAGCCTTCATACTTTTGTATATTTATACAAAGTCAGCTTATTGCGCTCACAATCTGGGTCCTCATTTTACCTACCTTTGAAAGGATGGAAGGCTGAGTCAACCTTGAGCCTGGTGAGATTCGAACTTGCAGTATTTGCAAGCAGCAGATGTTAATTACAGTGCTTTAGTCCACTGTACTACAGGCTCTTTTTTTTTAATTTCTTTTTTAATTTTTTAAAATTTCTCATCAAATTAATTAGCACATTAACAAAGATATAGTTAATTCTTCAATTTAACATTAAACAAAACTCAAATAATCTTCCAGGAATTTATAGTTTGCAAATCAGTGTGGCGTACCATAATATAGTTTAAAGCAGGAGACACAGAAGGTACTCTAAGAAATAATCAAGCAAATCTATATGGAGAAATCCATTTAAGAATGCAGAACATTTACCATTCTCCTACCCATTTACAAGCAAACAAAAAATTTAAAAAAATCATTATCTAGGATTTATATAATGAGAGTTTCAACTAAAATATTTGAGAATGTTTATTTTTTGAAAATGTATGTACTGTCAACAATAACTGACTCCTAGTGCTGGCCCAGCCCAACACTAGATTTATTCACTTGCCAATAAAATACATTCAAATACAGGAACCAAAATCCAATTTTTATTCTGTACAAAAGAACAGAGATGTATTGGAGCAGGTGCCACAAAGCAAGTGTGCAGGTTTGCAATTTTGCAGCATACTTATACAGTTTTAGGCAAAGAAGATAAATGGCTATGATTATTATAGGTTAATGCAAATAGCAAGTCCCTGCTTAACATCAGTCGGCAGATAATAAAAGTATCTTTTCATTATCTAAGTTCTTTACCTCTGGGTGTGATCTTTACTGTTCATTTACTAATGATGAACTTTCATGACCGTGGCACTTTCCAGCTCTTTCTGCCTATTTGACTCAAGTTCTTGCAGTTTTAACTGTCATTCTAAAAGAGGGCTAAACTTTTCAAAATGGCTTCAAGCTACTCCATCATTGGCACTTTACAAATGTTAGTCCTTTCTAAAATTTGCCTGAGATAATACTCCAGAAAACGTCCATTCTCTGGAGAAAAAAAGAGTATGAGAAACTATTAATGATACTAGCCAATTTTGGAGGGTTGTGAACAAGTGTTTATTTATTTTATTAATCAAATTTGTACAGCTGTCCATCTCACCAAAAGTGACTCTGGGTGAGCACAACAATCAGATAAAAACATATATATAAAAACAACAGATATAAAAAGGTAGAAAATTACATTAAAAATAAATAGTATAGAAAAAAATATTTTTTCTGCAGGAGAAAAATAATGATCTATAACTATTAGCATTAATGTTTAAACTGTAATCTCCATACTGTCCCCTCAATTTAAAAATGTTCAGTTGTTCAGTTTTTCTTTAATTTTGTCTTCCATATTAGCTCCTTCCAAAAACAGAACATTAATGTCAATTATTTTGTATGCCTCGCAGTGCCCCAAAGGTCTCTATCATCTCTTCCTATTTTTGTTCTAATATTCAGTTTTTGCAAACTATTTCTTTTTTTTTTTGTTTCATTAACATCTGCAAACTGTTTCCTCATTATTGTAAGTACCGGTAAGTCAAAACTTTTAGCTAAAGAATAGCTATATCAAATCCCATTTTGCATATTAACTTAAGAGGTTTTTTTCTTATTCTTTAAATTAGTATATGAAGACATACATGTTATTTATTATCATCCTGTTTCTATCAACTACAGTTCTTTAGCACTGTACAGCTTGATTATTTCTGCAAGTAATGCTTTGTAATCAGGCCTATTTTCATTCTCAGTGGTATACTCTGATACCCCTGGCTTCCCTTTTTCTACTATTCTTTCTATGCAGCATTCTTCATGTCTATTTTTAATCTAACCTAAGTTTCAAAAGTTTTAATCCTTCAGGGGCTTCTAGCAAATGTTAAAACAATTTAAATAAAACATAAAATGAAATACATGTTTAAAAATTGAACAATATCCTTTATTCTGAAATATTAAATATCCAGAGGTTTCTATGCTATGCTACACCAGTGTACTAAGTGTAAATGGAATTTTCATATTTTAATATTTTTGGTGTTCATCTCACCAAATAACCCTGCTCTGTATCAAGTGTACAGGATATCAATGATAAATATTTAATGAAGATATGCAACGTTTTATTTCCCCCTTTCTTTTCAAACAGAAAAAATATACAAGTGAAATTACACAAGTATATGCAGATATCTTATAATGAAAGAGTTATCTCAGGTTCCACTTGCAAAAGTTTTACTTATAAAATCTATTTTCCCAATGAAAATAATAAATATGAAAGACAACTTACAAAGTGAGAAAAATCAATATGTGTTGTGAGAAGTGAAAGCAGGTAATATTGTGGTAGTTGTAACTTAATAAGCAAAAACAATTTAAGAATTATCCAGAAATAAGTTCCACCTAGGGTCAACGTTGGCAAGCTATAGTATTACAAGCCAAATTCTACCTCAAATCTGATTTTTGAAATCTCCAAAGCTGTCCCAGATGTGGGTGCTGCAATTTAATAAGAGAACACAAAACATGGATAATGTGGTTTTATGTGATTTTAATTATTTAGCTGTTTAAAAAAATAAGATAATTTTTAATATTCAACAAAATCCTTTTAAGTGGTTAGAAAAAAAACAACAAGAAAATCCTGGCTACTGTATATACTTGTTACTAGTTTCACTTTTTTTCTGGAGAAACTCCAGTGAATGAATAAAATATATGCAAAAGCCTACTTAGAGGAATAAAAGTCAAAATGGGGATGTGTTTAGCTATTTTTTGTTTGGAAAATCTGCTAAAATGTAAAAAGTATAACAAATACTATGACAGTTTCTTATTTGTTTAACCAAAGAAATTAAAATTTAGTTTTTTTAAAAAAAAACTTCACCAAAAGCTAGAAAATTAGTTATGAAAGACATGATATAATAAGTTTTTCCATTACTTATCAATTCTATACTAGGGAGAAGAAGGAAAAGAGAAATTGGCAGAATGAATGAAAAAGGAAGAGAGAATAAAGGAATGAGGGCTGCTTGGAGCTTTCTGAGCTTGGTGGTTTTCTTGAAGATTTGGTACCAAACTAGGTAACATTATCAGTGCTACATATTATCATATTAGCATTGAATTTGGTAATGAAACATCTGCAAGAAAACCACCAACCTCAGAGAGCACCAAGGATTCCACAGTTCAATCCTGAGCTACAAATATTCTATTGAAAGGAACAAGGGCAGCCATTTCAGTGCAATTCATACAAAAACTACCTCATTAGTGAAAATATTGAAATTGGTAAGAAGTGTGTACTATGTATGATATGAATTAAACAGTTTAATTTCCAGTTCATTTTCTTATCCCTAAACTTTCTGCATTAAATGTGAAAATATTTATTCTGCATCTAGATTTTAGCACACTCTTTCCCCACTTCACTCACAGATATTTACAAACAAAATCAATTGGATCTTCATCACCAATGCAATTAATTAATATTGGCTAATTAGCAGCAGGGAAAGTCAACAAGAAGGGGGAAGAATCTTGGGAACATCTCTCCCGAAAAACCTTAGCATATGAATCTACATTAAGGGTATTGTCAACAACTTGCTCTTGTAAAATTTATATTTTGTAAAATAATATATGGTATGTAGGTTTGTCCCTCAACCCTCAATTAAACTTGCAAGAAACGATTTCATTGGTAGAAAATGTTTTGATGCGTAAATTGAAATTACTGTTTTACACAGCTTGTAAATCAAGCCATTTGAAGGTGGTTGATGAGTAGCTTAAGTGCTAAGAAATCTGATAGTTACAGCTGTAAAATGTGGGAATAATGATTCTGAAATAAACAAACAAAAAGATTTTATTCCATTTATAAGCTAAGTGATTTTATATTTTATTAAAATGTTCCAATGGTCTCTTATGACCAGTTTTATTTTTTTCATTATAATATATTGTTATATTTTGGAACTAATCTGGCAACAAAAAGACAAAAACAAATGGATTTTCTTTCCCTTAGTGCAAGCAAAGTAGTATATTAATCTGCTCTAACAAATTTTAAAATGTTTCCA